TGTGTACGTATCCAACCATGGCCTGGGATCTTCTGTCCAGGTGTCGCGTTTGCGTGCTGCGCCGAGACATTGGCTGACACGTTTGGTCCAAGTGCAGGCTCGGTGTGTGGCGTGGGATACCAAACATGGACCTGGCTTTTCGGTTCGAGTGCCGCCTCGGTGTTTGGCTGCCTGGCATGCGGGTCGAAATGGGTCCTGCTACACTTCGAGCCCCGTTGGCCTTTCTGATCGAGCTCTGCAGGCGGCTGGACGCCTCCTCGCCACCGTGTTGTTCAGGGGAAGGAGCGCTCTTGTCATTTGGGCCCGCGATTGCTTGGCGTTCAGGGACTTCTTGCGCGGCACCACCACAGGGTCCTCAGTGTCCGCACTCTCGCCCTGGTACGACGCCGCCTCCTGCTGCCTCCGCAGGGGACTCTTCTGCTCCTCCGTCGCCTCATCGTGCGGTGCCTGCACCGTGGACTGAACCTGTACGGGTCCCACCTCAGGGCTCATTTCGGCTCGTCCGACTCGATTCGATTCGATTCTGATCGATTCGGATTCCGATTCGATTCGACTTCGGGCTCCGTTCTCCATGGAGGCCTTACAAGCCTGCCGACTTGCCCCGATTCGACTTCTCTCGATTCCTCTCGCTTCGCGGGGTGCACGTCCGGAGCACGTGCAGTCCACTCGTTGTCGGGCCCCTGGGAGCTTCTTGGCGGCCCCTTGGAGGCCTCTTTGGGGCCTCTTGGGTCCTCGCGGGGGCGTCTGGGAGGCCCCTTGGGGGCCTCTGGGAGGCCTCGTGGGGGCCTCTCGGAGCCCCGTGTGGGCGTCTTGGGGGCGCTCTTGCGCTGTCTGGTCCCTTCGGAGACTGTCTTGGGGTACTCTTGAGCCGTCTTGGGGGCCTCTTGGGGCATCTCGGCGGCCTCTTTGGGCTGTCTGGGGGCCCTCTTGGGCCGTTTTGGGGCCCTCTTGAGGGCTTCTTGGGCCGTCTGGGGGCCACTTCGGAGGCTGTTTCGGCCGTCCTGGACCTCTGAGAGTCGAAATAGGCGGGAACGCTGAAATCTTCAAAAAACCATAGGACAATCAAAGAGTAGGGCTTCTGGAGGCGCTCTTGGGGGTCCTCTTGGGGCCGTCTTGGGCCTTCTTGGGGCCTTGTTGGGCCCCTTTGGGGCCATCTTGGGCCGTCGTGGGGCCGTCTTGGCCCGCACAGGCCATTTTGAGCCGTCCTGATGCCCTCGTGGCCCCCCAAGAGGCCCAAGAAGCCGAAATCGTCGATGTTACATAGGTTTGATAGGTTTTGGGGCCCCAGAAGGGGGTCGCCAGGTTGGGTCGATGGATGTGGCGTAGCCCCTGAGTGGGGTAAGGGGGGAGACATTAGAACGTAACACAAGACAATATGTAGCAATCGAATTATGGGATACAGTGGATTCGATGCATTACAGCATCCGCGGAAAACGCTGCCGCTCAGCACGTCACTTCCGGACGTGGATTCCTCTTGCTTCGCGGGGTGCACGTCCAGTCCAGTCGTTGTCGGGCCTTTGGGAACTTCTTGGGGGCCCCTTGGAGGCCTCTTTGGGGCCTCTTGGGTCCTCGCGAGGGCGTCCGTGAGGCCTCTTGGGGGCCTCTGGGAGGCTTCTTGGGGACCTCTCGGAGCCCCGTGTGGGCGTCTTGGTGGCGCTCCTGCGCTGTCTGGTCACGTTCGTTCTTAAAGGCTTCCAACTTTCACAGTGGATCCTGGGCCGTCTGGACGCCCTCGTGGGGCCCCAAGAGGGCGACGGGGCCCAAATCACAGATTTTCCATAGGTTTTGGTTGGACTTTGTAGGTTTTTGAGGCGCAGGAGGGAGGGGCCACTTTGGGTCGGCGGAAGTGGTGTGGCCCCTGGGGAGGGGGTTAGGGGGGGTACATAGTATTATTAAACAATACAATATGTAGCAATTACGCAATCATTGGATACATTGGATACGTTGCATTGTGGCCTCCGCGGATCTGCCTCTGGCAACACGTCACCTCCGGACGTGAATTTTCATACTCCCTCCCCATACCCCCTTCAGCGCCAGCTCTAATCATGGGCGCCGCCGTGACCAACTTCACCTGGCTGGCGCTGCGCCGCACTTGGCCCAGGGGGGAAAAGTGACAGTACACTCCAGTCGCTGTGTGGGCTTTGGGGGGCTTTTATGGGGTTGGGGGCTTTTGGGAGACTTCTTGGAGGCATCTTGGGGGCTTCTTGGGGCCCCTTGGGGGACTCTTGGTCCTGGGCCGTCTGGGGCGTTTTTCTGCCGTTTGGCCCCTTCGGGGGCCGTTTTGGGGGCCTCTCGCGGCCGTTTTGGGGCCCTCTTGGGGTCCTCTTGGGCCGTCTTAGGGGCCTCTTGGACCGTCTTGGGGGCCTCTTTGGGCCGTCTTGGGGCCCTCTTGGGCCGGCGTGGGGCCCTCTTGGGGACTTTTTTTTGGAGCTGTTCTGGGGCGATTTTGGAAGCTGCTTGGGCCGCAAAGGCGAGAACGCTGAAATATCGCCAGAAACCACAGGAAGATCAATGATTTCTGCTTCTGGAGGCGCAGTTGAGGGCGCTCTTGGGGCCCTCTTGGGCTGTCATTGGGGCTTTTTGGGGTTCTTGGGCCCATATTGAGCCGTCTTGGCGCCCTCGTGACCCCCCAAGCGGCCCAAGAGGTCAAAATCATAGATGTTCTATAGGTTATGGTAAGTTTTTTAGCCTCGGGAGAGAGTGGCCACTTTGGGTCGACGGATGTGGCGTAGCCCCTGGGGGGGGTTAGGGGGGGAGACATAATAATGTAACACAATGCGATATGTTGCAATTATGCAATGTTTGGATACATTGGATACGTTGCATTAAAGCGTTCGCCGGGAAACGCTGCCGCTCAGCACGTCACCTCCGGACGTGGATTCCTCTCGCTTCGCGGGGTGCACGTCCGGAACACGTGCAGTCCAGTCGTTGTCGGGCCTTTGGGGATTTCTTGGGGGCCCCTTGGAGGCCTCTTTGGGGCCTCGTGGGTCCTCGCGGGGGCGTCTGGGAGGCCTCTTGGGGGCCTTTGGGAGGCCTCTTGGGGACCTCTTAGGGCCCCGTGTGGGCGTCTTGGAGGCGCTCTTGCGCTGTCTGGTTCCTTCGGAGTCTGTCTTGGGGTACTCTTGGGCCGTCTTGGGGGCCTCTTGGGGCTGTCTGGTGGCCCTCTTGGGCCGTTATGGGGCACCCTCTTGAGGGCTTCTTGGGCCGTCTGGGGGCCACTTCGGAGGCCGTTTCAGCTGTCCTGGACTTCTGAAAGTCGAAATAAACGGGAACGCTGAAATCTTCAAACAACCATTGGAAAATCAATGGTTTTTGGTTTCTGGAGGTGCTCTCGGGGGTCCTCTGGGGGCCGTCTTGGAGCGTCTTGGGGTCTTTGTAGGGCCTCTTGGGACCATCTTGGGCCGTCTTGGGGCCATCTTGGACCGTCTTGGGGCCATCTCGAGCCGTTTTGAGGCCTTGTTGGGCCCCAAGAGGGCCAACAGGCCCAAGTCATGTTTTCTTTAGGTTTTGGTAGGTTTTTGAGGCGCAGGAGGGAACGGCCACTTTGGGTCGGCGGAAGTGGCGTGGCCCCTAAGGGGGATTAGGGGGTACATAATATTGTAACACAATACAATATGTAGCAATTATGCAATCATTGGATACATAGGAAACGTTGCATTCTAGACTCCGCGGACCTGCCTCCGGCAACACGTCACCTCCGGACGTGGATTCCTCTCGCTTCGCGGGGTGCACGTCCGGAACACGTGCAGTCCAGTCGTTGTCGGGCCTTTGGGGATTTCTTGGGGGCCCCTTGGAGGCCTCTTTGGGGCCTCTCGGGTCCTCGCGGGGGCGTCTGGGAGGCCCCTTGGGGGCCTCTGGGAGGCCTCTTGGGGATGTCTTGGGGCCCCGTGTGGGCGTCTTGGAGGCGCTCTTGCGCTGTCTGGTCCCTTCGGAGTCTGTCTTGGGGTACTCTTGGGCCGTCTTGGAAGCCTCTTGGGGCTGTCTGGTGGTTCTCTTGGGCTGTTTGGGGGCCCTCTTGAGGGCTTCTTGGGCCGTCTGGGGGCCACTTCGGAGGCCGTTTCAGCTGTCCTGGACTTCTGAAAGTCGAAATAAGCGGGAACGCTGAAATCTTCAAACAACCATTGGAAAATCAATGGTTTTTGGTTTCTGGAGGTGCTCTCGGGGGTCCTCTGGGGGCCGTCTTGGAGCGTCTTGGGGTCTTTGTAGGGCCTCTTGGGGCCATCTTGGGCCGTCTTGGGGCCATCTTGGACCGTCTTGGGGCCATCTCGAGCCGTCTTCAGGCCTTGTTGGGCCCCAAGAGGGCCAACAGGCCCAACTCATTGATTTTCTATAGGTATTGGTAGGTTTTTGAGGCGCAGGAGGGAGGGGCCACTTTGGGTCGGCGGAAGTGGCGTGGCCCCTGGGGGGGTTAAGGGGGGTACATAATAATGTAACACAATACAAAGTAGCAATTATGCAATCATTGGATACATAGGATACGTTACATTATAGCCTCCGCGGACCTGCCTCCGGCAACACGTCACCTCCGGATGTGTATTCTTTGCTTACGCCACATCCGCTGACCCCTTTATAAACTACTGCGCGTCCAGGACTGCATTCCACGACCGTCTTGGAAGCAATTGTTGGGCTTCTTGGGGGGCTCCTGGGGGGCTGTTGGGGGCGTTGTGGGGCCTTGTTGGGGCTTCCTGGGGGCTTCCTGGGACCTCTTGGGGGTTTCTTTGGGGCCACCTGGGGGCGTCTTGGAGCGGAAGGCTGGACCGTGCCGGTTCCCTCTCTGGGCTCTTTTTTTTGGGCCGTCCTGGGGCCTCTTGGGCCGTCTGGGGTTTCTTTTTAGCAGTCCAGGGGCCTTCTTGGGCCGTCTTGGAACCCTCCTGGGGGCCCTTTGGGCCGTCTTGGGCGTACCGAACACCCAAGAGGCGGATGTGCTTGAAATATATGTTTTCCCTAGGGAGTAGGGCGATTTTTGTTTTTGGGGGCCCTCTGGAGGCCATTTTGGGCCGTCTGGAGGCCATCTTGGGCCGTCTGGAGGCCATCGTGGGCGCCTTGGAACGATTTTTTGGCGACGATGGGCCATGTGGGCTCGTGTTGGGGACCTGTTGGAACGCCCCAGGGCGTGTCTTGGAGCTCCAAAGCGAGTCTGGGGAGGGCCAGACCCCCCCTGGTGAGTTCGGCCGGGGGTCGTGCGCGGCTAAAGGGGGGGGTCAAATTTCTGGTTTGGGGTCCCAGGGTGGGGCTTATGGGGGGGGAAGAATCTCACACGTCTGGAGACCCACAAGGGGTCGGCGGACTTGTCTGCCCATTTCCGACGCTCCGATTCATTCGATCGCCGACCTGACTTATCGATTCGACTCTGGACTCTCCTGCGCACTGTCCGCACGCTCGCCCTGGTATGGCGGCTCCTCCTGCGGTTTTGTCCTACACCACCGCCGTCTGTCTGGGCCTCCCAGATGTAGTCCGAGTCGATTGGGTCGAAGGATCGCGCCGCATCGCCGATGCATCGGCAATGCGACGCGATGTGGAGCCACATGTTCTTCACGCCGATGGCGACGATGCATCGCCGATGCATCGGCGATGCATTTGCGATGCGGCTAGACGGCTAGATCCTTCGACGCCATCTACTCGGACCTTGTCTAGGAGGCCTCTATCCTGATGGAGGATGATCCCCAACACAGGAGCAACGCATGGTGCCATCTGCACTCAAGGCGAGCCACGTCGAGACGGGGGTTCCCCGAGATGGCATTGAGCCAACATGGCTACAGAAGGACACGTGGCGTATGCGGATGATTATGATGCTGCTGCTGATGATGATGCTGATGATGATGCTGATGATGATGATGATGATGATGATGATGATGATGATGATGGTGATGGTGATGCTGCTGCTGCTGACGACGATGATGCTGCTGATGGTGATGATGATGATGATGGTGCTGCTGCTGCTGATGCTGATGATGATGCTAATGCTGATGCTGATGCTGATGCTGCTGCTGATGATGCTGATGATGTTGATGATGATGGTGATGGTGCTGCTGCTGCTGATGATACTGATGGTGGTGATTCTGAAGATGATGATGCCGAGGAGGAGGAGCAGGACGAACATGAGGAGGAGAAGGTGCACTGGTATTTGGGTAAGGATCTGACTGCTGATGACCACGATGCTAACGACTGGTGTTGGTGATGGAGAGGTCGCGCATGCGGACGGTGTGTAGTAATTAGACTCTTGTTGTTTGCTAGTGGTTTTCTAAAGTATTGCCATTCGTACTCTGCAGATGATGGATGCCAAGACGGTGGTAGTGCTGGTGACGGTGATACAGATGATGATGATGATGATGGTGATGATGATGATGATGATGCTGATGCTGATGCTGATGATGATGATGATGATGATGACGATGATGATGAACACGATGCTGCTGACGACGGCGATGTTCATGATGATGCTGATGATGATGCTGATGATGATGGCGCTGCTGCTGCTGCTGCTGCTGCTGATGATTATGATGCTGATGGTGCTGAGGTTGATGCTGATGCTGCTGCTGCTGTTGATGCTGATAATGATGATGATGATGATGATGATGATGATGATGATGATGATGATGATGATGATGATGATGATGATGATGATGATGATGATGATGATGATGATGATGATGATGATGATGATGATGATGATGATGATGATGATGAATGATGCTGATGGATGATGATGATGATGATGATGATGATGATGATGATGATGATGATGATGATGATGATGATGAGGATGGTGGCGGTGGTGGTTGTGGTGATGCTGATGATGATGCTGCTGCTGCTGCTGATGATGATGATGATGATGATGATGATGATGATGATGATGATGATGATGATGGTGATGGTGATGCTGCTGCTGATGACGATTATGATGAGGGCAGTAATGAGGACGACGAGGATGAGCAGGATGACGAGGAGGGGGAGGCACTGACGAGGACGAGGAGGTGGAGTCGGAGAAGCTGGGGGTTATGACGGGACGTATCCCCCCCTGCGTTGGTTGAGGTCTACAGCGAGTGCGCCGCCGCGTTGGCTTCTCTCAGGGTCGGCGGCGACGTCGTGAGCGTGCTCAGCGACTGCACCGCGCTGACGGATGCCCCGAGCTCAGCTGGCCTTTCACATGATACCGAACTGGCATATGCCCAGGGATCAGTTGGCCTTGCCCGAGGAAGCGCAGCCATGTATCAGGGCGCGTTGATCAGCGACGGGTCCCGTTTCCGTAAAAAGGAATCGGCGCGCCTTGTCGCCAGATCAGGTGGCATTGGCCGCATGTGTCGGGGGTGCCTTCCGCAATCCGTAGAGATGATCTGGCGCCCACGCGCCAGATCCACGGATTTCTAATCCACGTTAGCGTGCGCCCAGCTTGCACATGAGATCGTGCTTGCAGGCAGATGTCCCGAGCTCAGTCGGCCTGGCATGGAGCCTGCTCCTATTCGCGAGGGTCTGGTTTCAGGTGGTGTGCAAGCAAGCATGGAAAAGGTTAGCAGCGCCGCGCGCTGCTCATAGAATGCCCCCCGCTTCATCGAGCATCGGTAAACGAGTCTCGCTGCGAAGCAGATCGAAGGCGGGCGCTTGCTTGGAAAATGCCTACCCACCCCCACGGAAACCAGGGGGGGTAAACACCCCCCCCTTGGGTTCGAACCCGGGAGGAGGAGGCGGGGGGAGCCCACCCTGCTCGGAACCAATGGGGGAGGGAGGGAGGAGGGGAGGGGGGAGGGAGCCCCCCTCGGAACCAGGGGGAGGGGGGGGTGGATAAACGCCTCCCCCCCAGGTTCGAACCCAGGGGGGAAAGGCGACGACGACGACGACTACGACGACGACGACGACGACTACGACACGACAGCGGCGGCGCCCACAGCGAAGGTAACGACGACGACGCCGACGCCGCCGCCGACGCCGACGCCGACGCCAACGACCACGACGACACCGACGACCGCGACGACGCCGACGACGACTACGACGACGATGCCGACGCCGACGCCGACGCCAACGCCGATGCCGAGCAGCACGACGCAGACAACGACGCCGAAGCTGGCGCCAGGGCCGGCGAAGAGCACGACGTCGAGCACGACGCCGAGCACAACGCCGAGCACGACGTCGATGACGATGACGACGCCAGCGACGACGAGGACAACGACACCGACGCCGACGCCGCCGCCGCCGCCGAGGAAGCGACGACGACGAAGACGACGACGAAGCCGACAATGACGCCGAGCACGACGTCGACGACGACGCCGACGCCGACGCTAGCGACGGCGACGACGATGCAGACGCCGACGCCGACGACGACGACGACGATGACCACAACGCCGACGCCGACGCCGACGCCGACGCCGAGCACGACGACGACGGCGACGACGACGACAACAACGACGCCGACGCCAGCGCCGACGCCGACGCCGACGAAGAGCACGACGCCGAGCACGACTCCGAGCACGACGCCGAGCACGACGTGCGACGTCGCCGACGCCGACGCCGCCACCAACCACGACGACGACGACCACGACGACGACGACGACGCCGACGCAAACAAAGACGCCGTGCACGACGCCGACGACGACGCCGACGCCGGCGACGACGACGACGCCGAGCACGACAGCCGCCGACGACGACGACGACGATGACCACGACGCCGAGCACGATGCCGACGCCGACGCCGACGCCGACGCCGACGCTGGCGACGGCGACGACGACGCCGACGACGACGCCGACGACGACGACGACGCGGCCGTCGACGACGACGACGACGAGCACGACGCCGACGCCGACGCCAGCGCCGGCGACGACGACGACGCCAGGCACGACACCGTCTTCGTCTCCCCGCCCCCCAGGTTCCGACCCAGAGGGGACCTTACAAGCGACCACAGAAAGAGCTTTCTTTTCCAAAGAACTCTCCGTGGGGTATTTGCCCAGCCCGGCAGTCACTCGGAAAGCTCTGGGCGACGCCCCTCTATTCGGCTTTTCCGCTTGAGATGGCCTCAATGGCCTCCAAGACGGCCAAGATGGCCCCAAGACGGCCAAAGAGGGCACCAAGATGTCTTCAAGGCGGCCCAGGATGCACTCAAGAGGCGGCCCAAGGAGGTACGGCTAACCCATGCCCCCTCGGGGGCGCCCCCTCTTGAGCCTTCGGTGGGGATAGGTTCGCTTGCTTTGGTGTTGCGTCTCTGGCTCGGAGCTCTGGCGGACCTATTTCCTGTCTCATTTCTTCGTTCGGGGGCGGGAGTGTACAACCCACCTCGTCCAACAACCTATCAGGGGCGGTTTGGGTCTCCGGACCTTTCCCCTGAGGGTGGACGGGGAGGTAGGACGGCGACGCCCTGGGTCGAGGCGCACCGTCAACTGGGGGCGCACATGTCGTTCGGCGGTGGTCTCGGCCATGGTCGGGCGGGGTGTGCGGTCCCGGGAGGCCTGTGTCGCTCGGCGGTGGCTTCGGCCATGGTCGGGCGGGCTGGGCACCTTAACATGACCCATCGACACAGGAAGGTGGTCATCGGAGCCTACAGAGTAATGCTTGTGAGGAGGTCAGGCAAGGAAAGCACGCATGACGACTAGCTCTGGCTCTTCGCGGGTCGGCTTGCACATTGCGTGGCTGCGCTGCCAGTGTTCGTGTTTCCACACGGCACTCTGCCAAACGGCGGGTTTCCCCGATCGTTCGGGGGCGGCCTCGTGGTGGGTTCGGCCCTCCACATCTGCTAGGCCACCGGGTTCCACCGAGTGGCCGCCGCCCCCGGGCCCCCTCGCAGCCGGGGCCGTGCTTGCCGGGTTTGGACTCGTGCTTTTGGGGCGTTTCGTCGTGCGTGGAAGACTTGGGGTAGGTGTGGCGTGGGCGTCTGTTTTCACCAGGCGACACCAGAAGTTGTTCTTGTGCTTCTGGGTCTTGGGCTTGGATGGTTCCAAGAGGGTCGGTTTGTCTTATTGCGCCAAGTAGGCGCTCTGCGCCACCGCTGGTGCGGCCACCTTCTTGGGGTCACTTTGTGTTGTTGTTGAAAATTTCCATGGTGGTGCCGCAGAGTGATGCCAGAGTCGTGGTTATGGGCCCCGAGTCTCTCCTCCTGTCAGGCCCCTTGCCCCGTCTTTGTCGCCCCCCCCCTTCCTCTCCCTTCTCCTTCTTTCCTCTACAATTACTCAATATGAATACTACTCTCCCTCTTCCCCCGATGGCGGCCTGAAAGTATTAGACCCCCCCCGCGTACTTTATATATGTATATGTATATATATATATATATACACAGGATTCCCGGGAGTTGGGTTTTCGCCTGCGTTTTTTGTTGTTTTCTAAATGCTGTTCTCGCTGAGGCGCCACGGGTTTTGACGTTTTAGAAATGGTGCTCCGGCGCGATTTAGTTAGTCTGATTCGCAGTGTTGAAGCCCCAGGAATTGGTTCCTGGCACGATTCAAGGTCGTCAGGACGCAACAGAAAAGCTGTTTCGCGGCGTTGAAGCCCATGCAGTAGCGTTTTGGAACGATTGGGAACTCTCAGCCGGTTGCCTTCCAACGGGGCATTTCTAGCATTGAAAAAATACTGCAGGGGTCTGTTAAGAGGGAACTTGGAGGGAGGGCGTATTGCAACATCGCTGATGCGTCGTAGGTTTAACCTGGTCATCCTCCTCCTCCTCATCCTCCTCCTACTCCTCATTCGTCTTTCTCCCACTGGTCCTCGCTCGACAGGGTCACAAAGGCATACGTGAATGACTGCTGGGTCTGCTCATGCTGATCCAAAACTTCGGTCTGACGGCTGCCCCCCCCTCTCTGTTCCACTGCATGCTCCTGTGCTTCTCTGGTCAATGCAACTCGCCTGGGCAACGCTTCTGAAGGGGCTGGTGGAGACGCGCGCAGCGCCGAGAACTTGGTCCAAGTGTCTTCGGCCAGCATGAGAGCTGCCCTAAAAACAGGCGAGGGCAAGGGGCGAAGGAGACAGAGCAGGAACGACGTGGTCACCCTCGTCCTGAAGGAAGGATGGGGGGAGCCTAAACGCGGAGACTGACTGACTGACTGAAGCCTTGCGTCCTGCAAGCGCGTGGGCAAGATTGCACGTATGGCAACCAGACGTGAAAATAGAGAAAGGCGGCTGACTACAGACAGGGGCAGGTCACGGGAGGAGAAGAGGCAGGAAGGAGGGAGGGGATGGCAAGGTGTGTCTGCGATGGCACACGTGTAAACGCGGAGAGCGGCACCACAAACTCCTGCTCCGGATCCGTTCTCATGGAGGCCGAGCGCGGAATGTCGCTCCGGAGTTCGAGGTGAGTTTCGTGCGGACTTTTTTGGCGAGGATCGAAGATTAAACAACATCCCACGCGAAACTCATTTCGTTTTTCACTCGCCGTTTCCGGATTTTCTATTGACAGATTGAAGATTAAACCAAATCCCACGCGAAGCTCATTCCGTTTTTCACTCGCCGTTTCCTGATATTCTATGGACAGAAATCCACGCAGAAATCCGCCGCAGCACGTCTGCGAGGTCGGTGCAGTGAGAGTGCAGGGGGGGCTGCGCAGGGGCCCTCCCTCCCCTGACACCTCTGGGGGGGGGCCCTCCCTCCCCTGCGCAGGGGCCCTCCCTCCCCCGACACCTTCTGGGGGGCTCCTCCCCTGGGGAGCTCGGAGGCCTGGTGCCCTCGGGGGGGTCGCTCCTCCTCCTCCTCCTCGTCCTCCTCCTCCTCCTCCTCCTCCTCCTCCTCCTCCTCCGGGGGCTGCCCTGGACCCCACCCGGGGGGCGTTCGGAGCCATCCGTGGGCGTCGAGAACCGTCCAGGGGGCGCTGAGTCAAGAACTGGGAAGCTCCTGCACCTCGAGGCCCAGAGCTGGTGCCTCTACAACTTCGACCTCATGTTGGGTGCCTTCCTTCAATGTTCCTCTTCTTCCTTCTCCATATCATCTGAACGACTGATGGGACGGGGGAGGGGGGGAGTGGGAACGAGGGGGGGGACCAAGGGGGGATAGGGTCGGGAAGGGGGGCACAAGGAGGCGCAGAATGGGAAAAGTGAGAAGAGCCATCCTGGGGCGCACTTCCCAGTGTGGACTCGGCGGCCGCAAGTGAAGCGTTCGGTGGGCGAAGGAGCGTGTGTGCAACGCTTCCGCGCGCTGGCTTCCTGCAGGAAGAGGCATGAGCAAGAGCTCTGGCTCGTCGGGCGAGTGGGGCATTCCTTGGCTATCCAGCGGGAGGATTTGGCAGCTAGGGCGCGGCCTTTGCTGACAAGGTCGCGCTGAGGGCGTCTGGCTGGCTCCCTGCGGTATCGTTTATTTGTCTCACCACATGCGGAGGGCACTGCTCGAAGCAGGCTGAGCCCCCGCCTGCACCGAGAAGGCGACCAGCAGAGCAGGGGGCGAAAGCCCTCAAAAGGCTTGCCCAAGGCCTCATGCCAGGGGTGCCAGGCAAAGCACTTGAGGTGGGAGCGTCGGGCCCGGCAGGCAGGAGGTGGAGGGAGGGATGGGGGATGGAGATGGGTTGGCGGGAGTGAGATAGGGTGCGAGGCCAGGG